GCTGAACCCATGGTTAGCGTATCTTCCTGGAAGCAATCGGCTCCTTCGGTCCCTACCACTCGGACCCATATCAAGACTACAATTACATAGTCATCCACCTTTGTTTACCCACAAGGAACGATGGGAGATGAAAAAGAAAAAATTATAAAGAAGAAAATAAAAGAAAAGAAAAGAAAGAAAAACAAAAACCCCCACCAAGAAAAGTAGAACAAGAAGCATGTTGTGGCTGATAGGCCATGGCCTTGATTTTATCAGACCGTGGCCAGGCCCTTGCTTTGTAGTTGGGACCTGAATCGTCAGAGTTTATGCCCCATCGTTCGCTTCCAGCCAACTACGATCCGATCCCTCGATCGTTTCAGTGGTATCCAGCGAATTTCCACGTTTTTCGGCTGATTGCTATGGATCTTCCAAGCGTCCATGTCTTTAGCTCGTGGTAGGAGCCCAAGTCCACGGGCCAGGCTTTCTCTTTAGTTACGCTTGTTACATTGACGTATATTTACTAACAGGGATGTAAAGCGGATCCCATACACACCCGAGGCACAAAATACGATGTCCAGCTACGCCCTCGCTTATTCCTCCTTTTATTGTCCCACACTACGTTGTAACTTGGGACTGATGGAGCCGCCCACGAGGGACGGGAAACGGTGGTGGAGTATCTGCTAGAGTTTAATCGTTATAATAGCAAGATCCTTCCCTATGTGTGATCGCATTTGTCAATGTGTCAGCCTTACTTCCAAATTTGCTGTATCCTTTCTTGAATGTAGACTTCCCAGTGACCCCAAACATGCACCTACAGTGAACTCTCTTGAGTGTTTCTCTTTTTATACATCGTGCACGCGATCAATGAAGTCATAAGTGCTTCCAGTGTCCCTATAGTCCTCATTCGCAAAATGTCGAATGCAGACGCCCCTGTCGAGAGGGCGCCCGTCGGGGTGTCATACCTGGCCGGGTTTATCTTCCTTTCCTACGTGGTCAGCATGATGGGATGCACTACTACATTAGAACTTCTCCATCGAAGGACGGCGAGAGCCGGTTTGTACAATTGGTACGGGCATGATTTCTTGTACAGGAGAATGATGTCGGGTTGCTAATCTTCAACATAGGTACCTATTGCTCACCTCTTCGGTAGCAATGGGAGGTGTTGGTATATGGTGTATGCATTTCATTGGGAACCGAGCGATTGTTCTTGGCAACGGGGAACCGGACATCCAGATCCTTTACAGCATGACTTTCACAGGTGTTTCATTCGTCTTGCCAGTGGTTGTTCTCCTCGCCGCTTTCTACGCCATCGGCACAAGTGAAAAAGCTGGGTATATCCGAATTATGGCGGGAGGCGTGCTGACTGGCTCATCGGTCTGCGGTATGCATTATATTGGGCAGCTAGGGATTGCTAACTATCAATGCTCCTACCGAGCTGCCAATGTAGCTGGCTCGGCCGTCATCGCCGTCTTCGCTAGCACTACCGCTTTGAGCATCTTTTTTCGATGGAGAGCTACCTGGACGGATAGCTGGTGGAGACGAGGCATCTGTGGGTGCTTGCTGGCTGCAGCTGTTTCCGGTATGCACTGGACGGCTGCAGTGGGAACGTCGTACCGAAGTCATGATCGGTCTGTCAAAAAGGGTGGCCAGCTCTCACGCACCCAGACTGTGATTATCTGTGCTGTCTTGGTCAGTTTCCTAGGGTTTTCGACCGCATGGTCCTAATAACTGACATTATACAGGCATGCGTTGCTTGTGGTGTGCTGTCCGCATGTGCCATAGTCGCTGGTGGACACCGCAGGAAGCTCAGAGCACAAGCCCAACAGCTAGTCTTGACCTGTGCTTTCTTCGACTCCGAAGGTCGGATCATGGTCACGCCACATGCATTACTTCCAAGCCGGAAGATCGTTGACCGGTACATTGGCAGGGTAAGTTGTTTTTTTCGATGATCCTCGGTGTGGTTTTTTTTTGGCCACCACTAACCAGTAATATTTCCTCTAGACATTTAATGAAGATGATCTTACGCGGACGCACCCGGCTTTCCTCTGGGCTGTTCGAGCGAGTAGAAACTGGAAACTAGTGAGAGACGCGGTGCCCCTCATGAGAGGCCGGATAGAGTCAGACGAAGCCACATTGGCGCATTATATCTCCAAGGGAGTTGTCTCGGATCAAGAGGCTGAATTGCAACCGCACTTCGATGATCTATTCAAACGCCACTTCTGTGTGACTGCCCAGGACCTGGCCGATGAAGTTCGACAGCCGTTACAGGATATGGGAATGCTATATGACCACGTTTTGGCAACCTCTACTCCATCGTCGCGTTTCTCCCGTGCGATGGGATACTCGATGATACGCGCAGGAAAAGGTCAACTCTTGTTCACAGTGCGTCAACTGAAGAAAAACGAAGCTAGCCGTATGGCAGCAGCTGGTTTCCGATTTACAACCATTGAAAACGTTACCTCGATCTTGTCTCGTCGGATTCACGTGCCTGCCTTAAGCTTGGGAACCCATCTCAAGGACATGAGAGACTACGCATCATCGCACCGCATATTCGAACCCGGAGTCCACCTTATCTCGTTTATCATGCGCCCTACGATCCATGACCATTTCGAAGTGTTGACTGCCAAGGGTACCGGCAACCCCTTACCATCATCGACTTTATCAACTAAGCGTCTCCAAATTAAACATCTGGAAATGATAGCACATATGGAAGGGTGGACCATGTCAACTTGCCTAAATTGGTTGAAATCGGAAAATGCGCGAGCCTACAGGGATATCGACGAATTCCGGGAGCAGCTAATCCACGCGATAACGGCTCTTTCTTCTTCTCTTCCGCCGGATGTCAACCTAGCATCTAAATTCTCCGCTCGGCCCCTCATCGCTCCCTGCCGTATCAATAGGATCTCAGATGGACAGAACTGCATCCTCCTGCCATTCTGCGTGGTAGGATCTCTAGATACACAAATCTCAAACCCAGACTACAACTTTACCCCTCTCCGTCTTTTCCGCGTACAGCAGCAGACGAACGATGGCCTCAGCGAGAGTGACGGCTTCGCTAAAGAACTCAGCGAAGACCTTTTATACTCAAAGAATCGCCCAATCTCATCCACTGACTCCGACTTTCCTGACTCCATACGCTCCAAAATTCGCTTCTGGAACCCCCGCAAACTGCCCGATTCAATGCTCAAAACTGACTCGCAAGAGTCTCTCTCCGACAACACTCTCACCCCTGAGATCATGGTCCGTAAAGAAGTCAAAGTGGATGTCGCTAAGTTGGCCGAACCGGCCTTTGAACCCACATTGGGAAGACATGCTTCACAGACGACTGTTGTTGCCGGTGAAATGGCTTTCAACACTTACGTCGACGAACTGTATAACCTCTGTTATTCTCCTGGTGTTCGGCTTCGACCAGATCCCGCATTCAGCCGAAAGTCCATTCGTTGAGACGGAACATAGAGTATCTACACTATTCTTATGAACAATCGCTTCAGAGGTTGAAAAGAGTCGATCCGAAATTCCACTCGCTGGACGCTCCACTCACACCAGAACCGACCCACGACGGTTCTGAGCTAGTTCCCAACAAGGGAACCGAATATCAAAGAGTATTCCCACGGCTTCAAACCGAACATCCGTCTACTGCGCATTATGATCATGATGCTAGACACACCGCTATGTCTGCAAATAATTACGACATCCAACCTCATGCCCATGGGCAGGGCCCATGTCAATACTCAAGATCGTCAGTGTCCTGATGATCGTCCTCTGGTGGGAAGATAAGACCTTCCCCTACAAGTCTTTTCGGCACCCTTCGTTCTTGTGACGATTTATTCTTAAATTCTTCGACGATAGATTACATATACCCTTTTCATGACAAGCAGCAATCTTTCTTTCTTTCTTTTTTTCTCATATTAAGTACAATGTAATGTATATATGAAAATCCTCGCGTTGTCAGTCTTTCCAACATATATCTACTATCCTCCTTCTCTTCTACTTCCACTTTCATTTATTTTCACTTGTTTTTTCACACTCTCAGTCTTGCAAATATATATTGTACAATGTATTCTAGCGAACTGTATATAATAGTCTTAATGTACTAACTACATTGAAACTCGAAGTTCAAGGTCTGTAAAGTCTTCATTTATCGGTATAGTTCCTCAGCTAGCGGCTGGTCTAGCTCTTGTAATCCAAAACACCAATATACCAACAATTATGATTGACTTTCTATGGCATCATCAATATTACACAGTTCCTTGTATCACCGTGTTGTACCGAATGGGTTCCCAGACGTACCCTAAGCACAAGTGTTTCTACGATGTTTCATGAATATAGGAAGCAAGCCAAGGTATTCGATGATGTATTCAAGCAAAAGTTCGTCTACTTTAGCTATCGATTATTCAAAGATCTATGTCAATGAAATTGATGGCATGTTTAATTCACCAACCCCGCCTGACATGGTCCCAGGAAACTCGAATTGTCTAGGAAATCAGAAAGGTGGTAAGATCGAGAAGGAAAAAAAAGTGTAGAAAAGATTCTTCACCGCCCCAAGATGCAACCTGTTCGTAATTTTTATGGCTGTACAGATCTTTCAGTCCTGCATGCATGAAATAAGAAACCCAAATCAGAGAAGACCGCCGGAACTGAGAAAAGGAAGTTCTTTTTTGTTTCACGCGCAAACCCAATGCAAGACCAAGATGAATGCAAAACCCCCAACAACAACGCCTCGTCAAGAAATATCGTATGCTCGAGTGGTGAAATCGTGGCTGACTATCGCAGATAGGTAGTGTGAAATTGTGTGGGTAGATATCGGAGAAAAATGGAAGCAAAACTCGCTCAGTCGTTAATAGGGAAATAGATAGTCGACTCTTTAACCAAAGCGGCAAAAACGCCCAACGTGCTTATTATGAAAGCCCAGTAAACATGGCCGAAGCCAAGTGTGGATATCAGTGTCGTTACGGTCATAGCATAATACGAATTTGATCCAGAAGATCAGAAAGAATGATTAAGTGAGAAGCACATAGACCCTATACAGGTTTTGGAGCGTTCCGACTCTTAGTGAGGCGTTGGCTCCGCCGTGGCTTCGGTTCTTCCTTTGGTTCGTTCTTCTGGGTGGCGGGCTCGCTAGAAGCTGGTTTCTGCTTGATCCTGGACTTGTTGTCTTTCTCTAGGTCTCCAGTTCTGTCGGATCCCGATCCTGACTCGAAGGAGTCACTTTCTGTCTGGCTAGGGGTTTCTGCAGTCATTGCCTTTTCGGCGACCGCATCCGGGCTGACTCGTAACCGCAAGGAAACAAGGTCATTCTGATCGTCTCGGAAGGCAATCCCAACCGTTACATCAGGAAGGATACGCCTTTTTTGATCTCTGGCTCGGTCACCCCGCGTAGCCGGTTGAGGGTTGTCCTCAAGTTCACTCTCATCTGCGGAGCGCTTGCTACCGGTGCTGAAGGGAGACGAAGACCGTGAGGACGGTTGTTGAAGGCGAGATTTCATGATGGCTTTAGAAGCAGAAGTCTCCGCCGGGTGTGCACTAGTATCTTCGCCAAGTAGATTCTCGAATGCCCTGTCGATGTTACCGCGACATTGTTGAAGCATTCCTACGATGGTGTCCCGGTCATACTTGCCACCAAGACCCTCCTGGATGGCCGATATTTTCCATGGGCTAGCCATATCTACGACAGTGGGTCCAGTAGTCGACGCTTCTTTGTGGACTGTCTGCTCAGCTCGGGGTATACACGGCAAGCCTGTGTGGGGGCCTTCTGTATGCCGTACAGAGGAATAATGGTGGAAATCCTATCAAAATCAGAGAACGATACCATAAGGAATAAGGTCAATGCCTTACATGAAATGCAATATGCACGGCTTCCCTCTCTTCGTCATCTGAAGCATGAACGTCGCGGAAGTTTTGAATGCCATACATGGTGTAGACATTGACATCCCTTTTATACGACTGGCAAAATGCCTGGATCTCTTCTGCTCCTCCCCAAACGCCCTTTTTCCGAGACTCCGCCACCTTGGAATCAAAGCTCCGCTCTTTATCCTTGGAAGACGGAGGCGCGGGACTGGCGGAGGAGGAGGAACAGTAAGAATATCGAGCCGCCGACGCTGCCGCTCGCCTGGGCGCTCTGCGCTCTCCACCAACGGCGGCTATAAAATTCATAAAGTAATCTTTATTGGCGGCGATGTGATCAGCGAGACGGACACGGATCTCGTCGGCATGAGTGAAATCTCCATATAGTTGGTCAGAGAGGGCGTAATATAAGCAATTGCCTACAAGTCACCGTTAGAGACGTCGGGAATTCCAAAGTATACGAGCCCCATTGCGATGGCAACAGTATATATTATATGGATTGAAAGTCCAATGGCAAGGAAGTTTTACCATCGCCCTCTGTAGGAAGAGCATAGAGCCCGAGTTTGTTGAGACATGGAAGCTCCAGGCATTCCGTCTCCACATTCTTACTGCGCGTGCTTTTTGAGGATTTCGCCTGCGACTGGGGCGGTAGCTTTTGACTTGAACGCCCATCGCTATCGTCTTCTTGTTGCGGTTGTGGTGGTTGGGTTGGGAGCTGTTGTGTTGGGGGGCGTTGGTCGGCCACGGCCTCATCGGCAGGACTAATGGAGTAATGCTGATGGGCCTTGACTACGGGCACGATTCTGCCACCGGTTGGAACATCCGTCATGATTGAGTAGCTCTGCTCGACGAAAGGCCCTCATTGGTGAGGAAGACAGTCGGAGAGCTTCGCCGAGCAGAGGGATATAAGGGACAAGGCAAGAGAGAGTTAAAAAGTCACACTGACAGCTCAGTGAAAGTGGAAAAGGGAAAAAAAGAGGAAAAGCAGCAGGAAGTTCCTCAATACTTTTTTCTGGTACGGGGACTGCGGGAGGAAACACACGAACAGCGGTCGTGATCCGAGGAGGCGGTGAAGCCTGATCTTCTCTTTGATTGGTCAGCACTACGTGCAGACACGCCTACCTTCCGATAATGACGAAAGATACAGACGCGCGCTTTTGCGATGCCGGGAGGACCCGTCACTTTTGACATACCCTTCTAGGTAATACTCAAGCCTGAGATAGGAGTTAAAAAGTCTTCTATTTTTATTCGGACAGTTTCTCGGCATATCATTACAGTAAGTAAAATTACCAATTATTCCAGAACGTTATATCGCCCATTATCGTATTCCATAGGTAGGTGCAGGGTATGCACCTGTCCCGATGCCCTAAATCGCCCCCCACTCCCGGTAATTTACTCCTTCCCTGTTGTCCGCCGGAATTTCTGGGCCAATCATTCCCGGTCGATTAGAGTCAAGGGCTGATAATCTAATGGACAACTTCCCCGGCGGGATTTGTATCCTTGATAATGACGACTATTTAATTCAACTCACCATGTACGGGGCCTTTAATTCCTCTCTTCTCCTTATATAGTCTTCATTCCAGTTCCAATTAAAATATCAAAACACACGATAACCCCCAAATCCTGTCCCAAGAAACAGTCATGTCCACAAATAACATAGTGATCCTGGGGTACGGCCAACCCCACACTCTCCTCAATCTCCAGCGCCAAACTGATAGCAACCCAATAGAGCCGGAGTGTCGGGACTCACAACGGCATATCTCCTGTCCAAAGATGCCTCCAACTCAATCACAGTGCTTGCCAAACATATGCCGGGTGACTACGACATAGAATACGCCTCACCTTGGGCAGGTGCCAATTATCTTCCGTACGTTCTACAGGGGTAAACTGCTATATCTTTATATGAAAGAACGCTGTGCTCATCAAGAACAGGGTGGGCAAAGCCAGTAGCTCCCATGGAAAATGGGAACGAAACACCTGGCCCGCCCTTAAGGAGATAACAGAGAAGTACCCGGAAGCTGGAATTCATTTCCAAGGTATGTTCTCTCTCGCACGTTTTATCTTGTATATTAGCTAAGTAGATCGCTTCAGATGCGATTGTCTATAATCGTACAAAGGATCAGGGATCAGCAACTGGGGATTGGTTCTCCGAATTGGTGCAGAAGGAGCCTTGGTATAAAGAAGTCGTACCGGATGTACGTTGATTATTCACGCTTTCATCGAAATTACCTCCGCGCTGATCAGTACCCCAGTTCCGCAACTTCCCCGACAATGAGCTGGCCCCCGGCATTGACAACGCCTCGGTGTTTACTTCCGTTTGCATCAACACAGCAATCTACCTACCTTGGTTAATTGGACAATGTCGCAAGACCGGGGTGGTCTTCAAACGAGCAGTGATCAACCATGTGGCCGACGCAGCCAGCTTCCATCATTCAGGAAAGAAAGCCGACGTGGTAGTCAACTGCACAGGCCTTTCATCTAGAAAGCTAGGTGGAGTCAAGGACGACAAGCTCCACCCCATCCGTGGCCAGGTCGTCGTGGTCCGCAACGACCCTGGAGCAATGTTCTCAATCTCCGGCACCGACGACGCCGACGATGAGGTAACCTACATGATGACCCGGGCAGCGGGTGGCGGAACTGTCATCGGAGGTTCGTATCAGAAGGACCAGTGGGATCCGATACCTGACCCGAACCTGGCCGTGCGCATCATGAAGCGGGCCATTGCTCTCGTTCCGCAACTCGTTGGTGAGGGCCAAGGAATTGAGGGATTAGATGTTATCAGACATGGTGTTGGGCTACGGCCTTTCCGTGAGGACGGACCACGTATTGAAGCAGATAAGGTTAATGGCGTCTCGGTCGTGCATAACTACGGCCATGGAGGATTTGGATACCAAGCTTCCTTCGGCTGTGCCACGGAGGCCGTCGAGTTGGTTAACGGCATCTTGAAACAGAAGGGTCAGGCTAAACTGTAGGGTCGATGCACGCGGTCTGAGATACACGGATTAATTAAGTACACAAACGAACCGCAACGAAACAGAATGAAAACAATTATTATCTATACAGTAGTAGGGGTTCCAAATGTTTTAGTAACAAATTAGTCCAAACCCTAAAACGAGGCCGCGGATGATCAGCATCATAACGACGTCACCTCCTGACAAGGAAGGGTATATAGACTTCACTCTTTATCCCAGGGTTTCCCACGACCGCATCAGATTGTTGCCCAATTGCTATTATACTGTACATTCTCAATATAATAACTGTTGGAATATTCTTCCAGTTTCTCTAAAAAGATAATCCGTCCAAACATGACGTACAAACCCCCCAAAGTCGAAGAAGACTACTCCGACACGTCCGAACCTCAAAAGCGCAAGCGCGATGAAAAATATCCCGAGCTGGAACCAGCAACTCCTCAGCAAGAATTCGAGACAGGAGAACAACAACCACCTAGCAAAGCGTCTAAGCCCAATGAAACACCGGCCGAGGAGGATGAGATAAATGCCGAAAGCGAGGTAAATAATGACGAGGATGAAGAGCTTAGCGATGTGTACGAAGAGGGCGAAGAGGACGAAATTGAGGGAGAAAACGACAATAATGAAGATGACGAAGGAGTAGAAGAGGAGGAGGAAGAAAAAGAAGAAGAAAAGGAAGACAATGAGGAAGACACTGGCAAGCACGGACCAAAGGTACAAAAGGCTGTTGACAAACTGGGCCGGTGCCCCCTTGATGGCACAAAGATTGCCCAGAAGCCTCTTACAGCATCGCCGGAGACACTACTGGCGATGGTTATTGATGCCATGCTGAAGTCGCGCCCGATCTCGCATGATCTGACTCAGCGCACAATAACCAAGGTTATTGATGCTGGGTATCATGATATCCGCAAATTAGGGGATAGTAGCTGGGAGGAGCGCACAATGGTTCTGAAAGATGGAGGGTATAATCGGTATAGGGAGCAGGGCGCTACTAATTTAGGAGAATTGGCAGAATTGGTTGATGGCAAATACGGTACGTACAATCGACTCTCGTCTAGACCGTTATAGATGTGAAATATTGTTGCTTGGCTAACCCTGAGAACGCTTAGATGGTGATCTCAATAATCTATTGGAAGAGGCACACCACAACCGGGACGAAGTAAGAAAGCTCATCAAGGAGATCAAGGGTCTCGGCGATTTAGGTGCCGATCTTTTCTTCAACAATGTACAGAGTGTGTGGCCTGAAATTGCTCCGTTTGTTGACAAACGCAGTCTGCAAACGGCAGATCAGGTTGGGATTGGCACCGATTTGGATGCCATCTATGCCGACCTGAAACGTGATTCAATGAAGATGAGCAGATTGGCCAATGGCTTGTCTGCTGCGAGGTTAGATAAAAGGCAAGGGGAGCTCCTAAGCATTTGATTGCCGCAGTTGCTGTAGTATATCTCGTGCACATAGGGCAAGCATAGCTACTAAAACTTTTATTACATAAATACACTCAACTATGCCTGGTTTAGGCAATAATTCCCCGTGGTATTGTTTCGCCTTCCTTGCAGAAGTAGCCCTTCTCATAAAAAACCATGTAATGTTTTTGGAGTAGAAGAATAACTCTGACATTGCAAATCTCATCGAGTCTATAGATTTAGAGTCTGGTAACAACAAATTATTTTGACCCCCCAAATCCCCGTAAAATATCATCACCAACAAGCCTTGATAAATAGCCGTTACTGGCCAGGTCGTCTAATATGTTGATGCTATGTGACAAGAAACGAAGGGCTAGATCCCCAACAAACTAGGGGAGCGAAAGAGCTCTAAAGCGCTAAGCCAACAGACCCTATTCTTGACAGTACATATAGACACCATAGTTCCTGTTTAGCTCTACTTACTTCAGTCGAATTCCCACCCTCATCCGTACTTCTACCTCGATGTGAAGCCCCATCCAATTCTTCTCCTCTTCCTAGAAATGACCGTTTGCGCAACGGTACTGGGCTTCACAGATCCACGATCTCTAATTCGGCTGGGTGGCCTGCTCATCATTTTTCTATGTATGTGGAAATGCATAACGGCATCTCCCACGTACCTCGTGCGCTCCGTCTGGGCTTCTTTGGTAGGCGGATAAGCAGTGACGCTCTTCTTCCATTATATTGATATTGCACAGCTGAGTCCATGGCCCTTTGAGAGAATTGTGTCCGCTACCAAACCCCCTCAATTGGAGAATGAAGGTGGAGTTATAAGACGCCGGAAATCTTCAGTGACCAAGGCATTTTTTGGAAAGGAGAGTTGAACTTTGGCCTTTCATCGACATTTACAGCCCGGTTCTGTGGCACCCCACACGAAGTCAGACACGTACCTCGATTTTCGAACAATGACCCCAACTATGTCCCACCTCGGACCCGATTCATTCGGAATACTGTACTGATAGTCCTTCTCTGCTATCTGATACTCGATGTAATGGATTGCGGGCACCGATCTAGCTATGGTTCGCGAATACTTCTCAGAGCAGAACTTCCCGCTTTTCAGATGTTTCCATGATGTCTCTCGCAACGAGCTTCTTATGAGAACCTCCGGAGGTGCTGGAGCTCTATTCGGTCTGATGTGCTCCATGGAGGCTTCTATAACTTCTTCGCCTTGGTCGACAATCTGCTCGGTCTAAGCGCTCCTAAAGACTGGCCACTATTCGATGGGTCACCCCTGGAGGCATACTCTTTGAGGCGTTTTTGGAGATGAGTACACAAATACCCCAACCACTATCGTAAACCTGTGAGAAAGAATTCCTGACACAAACGTACTAACCGTCTCTCCTGCAGCCTTTTTTGGCATCAAGCAAACACTCGCAAGTTCAATATTGTCTCCGACTTCATCCTGCGCAATGTCTTCAAAATCCAAGCGTGCCGGGGTCCAATTCCAAAATATGCCAGGACAATAACCATATTCGCCCTTTCCGCAGTCATGCATTTCCTCATCGACGTCTCGACCGGCATTCCAGTCCGCAAGTCTGGAGCGATCCCCTTTTTCTGTACTTAGGCCTTTGGTATCGTGTTAGAGGATGCGGCCATAAAGATGTACGGCTATATCACGGTATACGCCAACGTGAGACTTCGGGTACTGGCAGAAAGGGTATTAGGCTTTACCTGGGTTGCACTCTTTCTGATATGGTCTACCCCGATGTATGTGTACCAGATGATGTACCGCTCAGCGGCGGGACTTAATGATGCTATCATTCCATTTAGCATTACTATTGGGTTGCTCAGGTGAAGGACGTATATGGCTTTTGGCTTGAAGTAGCTGACCTACTGATTTGAGGAATTAATTGGGTGATTCGGATGGCTATGAATGGGGTGGAGTCTTTGTATAAGTCTGTCCGTTGCTTTATTATTCGAACTTTATAGAATTAGAACTGCTTAGTTAGAACTATATATCCATGTGCACTTTGTGGGAAAAGAAGGAATATGACTGCCAAAGACTATCAAAAACTTATTGAAACTATTATATGGATAACTATGCGACTTCAAGTAACAGCTTTCCCTCCCGCAAGCCCACTTTTCTTCGTTCGGGTCGGCAGAGCCCTACGTTGCCCTGTCTTGGTCGTAGTCTTTATACCAAGAATAGTTACGGGAATGGGGAGATACCGGCTTACAGCTGTGGACTAAAGTGATTAGCGCAATATGATTGAATCAAGGACCCCGTAAAAGGGCGCAGGGCTGTGAGTCTTACACTACGCATCGTTAGTTGAAGGAGCAATGAGCAGAAACAAATGGGTGAAAACTCTCGATGCAGCTGTTTGACGAATCACCTCGCGACAACAAGATGAGCATTATAAGGGAGGTATCTAGGGCTTCGAGCCAAGATACTAGTAGGAAGTCCATCTTATATATGAATCAGATGGGAACAGCTTGAGAATTTATCAGCAATGAGTATATAGCTTCCTTGTCTATTAGTAGTGGTTGTTAACGAACAATAGGTTTGTCTGTAAAGCTCATATCAGGAGTCCAACCTGCCTTTTCCGAGCGTTGGAAATACATCTATGCTCATATAAACCAAAAGTTAAAGTTACACAGTTCCTAATCGAGCAACAAACTAGGGCTACACTAAAAGGCGAAGCTATTGGCAAATGATTGGGCCTCAGTATGGGACGGAGAGCTTTCAGTATTACTCTGTAATGGTAGTTCGCGTTAGGCAGCTATCTCATGTCGGCTCCTTTATTCCGTCCTTTCAACTCCTCACATTGACTAATGCACGGTATTCAAACGCACGGTGAGTACTACTCATCCATACATGCTGATGCAGTTCTGGACTGCAGATGATCCCTAGCTTTGTGCTACCTAGATGAGTTTATCTAATATATGTCTCCCCTACAGGGAAGGGTCCGGATTACCATCTTTGATGCCTCTTTGTTTTGGTAAAGCCAGTATGTACATGATTGAATCCAACGTTTTACATAAGATTAACCCAGTGAGTGTTGGGAATCAGTTTATCTACCTTGCATATTGCAGACTGTGGAGCTCGAGCAATGAGATTTTGAAGAAATGTACATGTTGTGTGTTTCAAGAATGTGTCCGTGGAGTATGACAGCAATTTAATTGAGTCCTGCATTCAGCCATATCATTGAATCGTCTCTACTCCGTAGAAGCGATCTAAATGAGATGGAAGCGTCTTATGTCTATTGCCGTGTGTGGAAGACGTGGACACTACGCCAGTTCCGGTTAGGCGTGCTCAGTCATCAATTGTTGGTCTTGGCAGACCCGCTGCTTGCGACGGCGGAGTGCTTGGAGTCTCTCCGTCCTTGTTTCCCCGTTCTCTCTCTCCTCTCTGCTCTTTTTTTCTTTACTAAAGAAGCTTTGTTCTAGCAAAAGACTTCTATCCCCTACTTTGTAAGTTCTCGCTTGGTTCATTTGTCAATCGAGTCGAGCTCCGGGCATGCGACCACTTCAGACCTCATCCTGACCTATCTATCAGCTATTTACGTTCGCCTACCTCCCGCGCGGGCCAGGCTACGAAATTCCCCGACTTGATTGTTGCTTTGTCCTCACTCCAAGAAGCTACAAACGCTCTCGCTCCTAACGTCCACCTGCCAATCCTTCCTTGCGATCGCACTCCCGAATTACCGCTCTATCTGCATATCCCACGAATCGATTGCGTAGACCAAAGGAACTTGTCCAGCTCACACAGTCAAAATGGATCTTTCTAATATCTTGTATGTTCTGTGTCTCGCATCTTACGAGAATTCGCGGCTCCGTGAATGGAACTAGGGACTCACTGTCTGCAGCCGACTTGTCAACATCGCCGTGGGCGTGATTATGGTTCTGGGCGGTATCTCCCAGTTCTTCCCTCCGTCCATGAGCTCCATCATCGTTGGTGGTTATGTGATTGTGTTTGGTCTCCGTAAGATAAACCTGTTTGCCTCTCCGTTGGCCTGTGGATATTGATATATCGCTGCTCATTAGTTGTCGCTGGGCTGGAATTCCTGCCCAACGTCCCGGACTATGTCTACCGCTATGCCTCTTTCTTGTTTTCCTTCCTTGGCCGCGGTATCTGTGAGTATCCATTCTTAGCTGCATTACCACACCTATCCATTAGGTGCTAATCATTTGGTTAGTCTACATCTTCGTTGGTTCGATTCTGCTGCACGACCACGTGTTGCGCTACATTGCTGGCTCTATCGTCGGATTCATCGGCGTGGGGTACTTGGCCCTGGAGTTCATCCCCTCGATTGAGCCCCCCTCGAACATGCGCGAGAGCGACCAGGGATGGGGCGCCGAGCAAGTTTAAACGCGGCCGATAAACGTTTGGTCCGGTGACGGGGCAGTATCATAGCGTGCAATTTAGATTGGCTTACACCGATCGATATTGGCCGTGTAGCCCCCCGGATGCACAAAGTGAAATGCGCCGCGGATAGACATGGAGTGGTGAAAGCATGGAGAGAGAGGGAAAAAAAAAAGATGTCTTCCCCTTAGGTGATGTGCGACGATCGACGAGTGCGATGAATATCTGTGCGACGACTCAATGGATTCGCCATCTGCAAAGATAGCGAGAGAAATTTATGCAGGCGAGTTAGCCATGTGGATTATGGCTATTTGTCTATTTTTGAGAGTGGATCATGGATACTTATTTTTCTTTCTCGAGGCCGATTTTGGACGGACGGGTTTATACTTTGCTTTGCTTTCTCCCTGTGGACCTTGTACTATAGGTGGTTCGTCGTATAATTTTATGTTATTTAAACTTTTGGAGACATCGGATAACCCGATTGCGTGGCACTGTGTGTAAGCTTTTGGTCTGTTACCATAGCGCTGTCTGCGTAAGACGTTGAATCTTCGATACTCGAGAATTGAAGCCATGATAAACACTTATGTGGTAATATAAGGAGAATGGCAAAAAAGTAAAAAATAAAGGAAACAAAGGCGAGAGGCTCTAAAAAGAGAGAGAAAATATATCTAGAGTGAAAGCAATAAAAAAAAAAGGTGTGAAAACGAATACACTTACTGCACCAAGCCTAGTGATCGAGCGAACGGAGCAGAAACAGATCAATCGAACCAATATTGTACAAACCGGAAGTATAAAACTAGTCAATTGCCGAGCAAACCCACAAGAGAGATAATCTGACAAGTCCACGTAAGTACTACCTGAGACTAAGACCCTCAACGCATGTTCAGCCTTATTCATAAGCACATGATCAACGTATCCGATTTTTTAGGAGATAAGATGGTTACTTCCCCAACAGCATCACTAGACTTACGTTCCATCTGCCGTTTAGGAATGTACAGTGAACACCCTCTATAAGCAGTCACTAGAATAAACCATTTGAATTACTTATATAAGTGGATTGCTTATAGAGGGCGTTTACTGTACTAAAAGAATACACCAAAGAGAGAGAGAAAGAGAGAGAGAGAGATTACGAAAACATCTCACCATCCATCAAACAACCCCCTAACTTCCCAAGTCTAAGCACTCCCACTTTAGTGATTTTCCCCCCCGCCCCGAAACCCCAGGATCTAATGCAGGGTTATTCGTTAAGTCCCGACCACCAAGACTGGACTTAAACCATCGACTAAGAAATTAGTCCACGCCACGGATGTAAGACAATCAGGGAATCCGTAAATTAACTCGTGTGACCGTCATGATGTCAGCGTCAACTTCCGGGGCAAAGGCTGTGCGCGGTTTGGTTTGGTGACTCATGACATGCATGTAATTGGGCTCTAGTGGACCTGTATTCACCTCCCCAAAGGATTCGAGGAGAAAAGGTTATTCGAGCCAAGACAAGATGGATCGATAGATTAGATTCGGAGATAGGCCTATCCGGGCTATTCGGGGATATTGATGACGACTATTCGGGGGAAATCTAAGCCCGATGGGACCGGGTTATTGTCTGTATCAGGGTATACCCTGGACTACTAGATGCTAACAGGGACTAAGTAGTTGTTAGGTTTGTACTCGGGTTCGCGGATTTACGCGTGTTGAGACTAGTTGAGGGTGAAGTCTGATCATAAGGTTTGTATAGTCGGTATCATCATATGTATCAATCTCCTGATAAATCACGCCACGGTTTGCAAACGTGGACGGGAACACTGGAGTGATTAATTTCTGGTGAAATGATATGATATTGATAATCGCTACAACTCATGGCGTATTCGTACTCGTGATAAACATGTTATGTATCGACTTGATAAAATATAAATGTATATAAATGTATATAAATGTATATATATTAAAAATAAATAAATAAAAAATAAGAAACCATCCGTACTTTTGAATCTAGGCCATTTGGGACCCGGAAAAGGGACAAAGGTGTCAAAATCGGGGAACGGGCCCCCGAGGACTTCAGAAAAGAGCTGAAAAGATTATCAATCGTGAATTAGGAACGAGTACGGAACGAATCAGCGCCGACCGAAGAGGCGCTGTTGGTGACGTGTGAACCAATCACGACGGTGGGAGATTGAACGGGGGCGTGAAGTTTCCCTCGCCGGCGGGACGAGATAACAAATAGTTACCCGGACTAGTGGTCTGGGTAATTTCAATTTGGCATTATGTGACTTAATGCATCCGGTCCCCTAGTGACCGGTGGCTAAAAATCGGCGTGAGCCGAGGAGAACTCTTCTGTGAGGATCTATTGGGTGGAGATGTTGATAGATTAGAACGTCAAGAAGGACATGGAAGGCATCCGATTATCCTATCAGCGTGGCGAAAATGATGCTGACTTGAGAGAATTTGGTGTTGGACGAATGACAGACGAGAGAATCAGGCTTATTTTCATGACCAGCAGACTAGGTACTGTTCTGGGAAGGTGCATTCCCACTAGACCCAGAACGCTAGACCGGAGATGGTAGCGGTGGAGCCAGATGATACGATCTGGGGAGAAGCAGAGCAATCATGATGGATGCAATACAAAGGGAAAACGAAAGAAGGGGATGTGACTTTACTCTTAGCCAAAAAAAAAAAAAAAAATTAGACAGAAATTTACCACAAAAGCAAAGTTTTGTAAAATAATCAAATTCAACAAAAGCAATCCTTCCCCAACTTCTTGAGAAAGGACACGAACAAAACAATCCCAAAACACAATCCACTGCAGGGGAAAAAGCAAAAAATACCAACGAGAAAGGCCGGTGTAGATCCTCCCCCCCTGGAGATCGATAACGAAACTTCCTTCGATAAGACCACACTGTTGGGACTCGGGGAATGTGACTTTGGGAACTTTTTTCCAGGCAACAAGAATAGAAAACGTACAGGTAAGTGGTGGTCTGGCCCTTTCTTTTCCTTTCATCTTCAGCAGCAGCAGCATCATCATCATCATCATTATTACCCACTTCTTCCGCCTTTCCCAATTCTGTGTCCTCGTTCTTTATCAATCAATCAATCTATCTCTCACGCCTCATTCTTCATCCTTCCCACGTCGTCATTTCCCCCCTCCCTCCCCCCTTCCTGTCCCTTCTGCAGAAAACTCGTGTGTTTTTAAATATTTTGTATTTTATTTTATTTTTATTTTGGAACCCTGGTCACCTCCACACATCATATCTGATCGGATTGATTGATCGCCCTTCCCCGTCGATCTTTCTTGTCTACGCTTTCACTTTTCCTCTTGTACATTCCATCCCCTGCTTCCACCTGTCGAGTCTTTTCAGCTGGCTCTTCATTCCCCTTAACTCTATTATTCATTGTAATCTCAATTGTCGTCTCCATTCTCACCAAAATAGAAAAAAAAAAAAGAAAAGAAAAAATCAAATCCAGCACCGATAACCGCCTCAACCACCACCTGGCGTCACGCCAGATCGCCACCCAGCCTCGTCTCGGATTGGCCAACAAAACCACCTTCGTGGCAGATCAGGCGTCTCTTTCCAATCTCCTTCTAGTCGAATACCTTTCCCTCTTGACTTTCTTGATCGCTCACCCCTCGGGAATCCGACTCCACCCTATTATCTCTGATCCGCTGTCAGGGATAATCGGCCTCTCTTCCCCCGGCTCCGCTTGGTTGGTTTAGGAGTCTCACTAGCTGCAGCTTTTTTACTCTACCGGTTCGCCCTTCGAGTTAGGCGTTTTAACTTTTCTTTTTCTCCTGCACTGTCATCTTGACCGACTTTTGACTTTGTGATACAATACATTACAACCCCGACTGTGGTGCAACCTACCCCCATCCTCCCCTTATTTCGATAAGCCGCCTTGAACGGACATTCGCTTCATCTCTGGGGTCTATACTGCCCTTCCTTGGGTTGTCCTCTTCCCGGAACATCAAGAAAAGAGAAGATACCATCTTCTGACCGATAGCGGTGGCAATGTTAGCGTCCCTCCCGCAGATGGAGACGGTACGATCGCTCCCCCGGAATCCGGATGTTGTTGCGCGACACCCATCCGCAGAGGACCTTGATGCTGCGCAGCAGTTAATATCATCGGCCCAGGCGGGTCGGGAACATCCCATCGACCGACTTCGTGATGAAACGGGGCCCAGACGCTACGAAGAAATGCCTAGTCGTAGTTCCTACGAAGCAGACAAGTTCATGGATGCGTCGACACTATATCCGTCAGAAACTGGTGCAAACCCATCAGAGAAGGCATCATCGCCGAAGTCCCAAAAAGACACATCATTTTTAGGGCATTCGTGCAGGTTAGTATTCGGTCTTCCGCCTTGGCCTACGGTTCCGTACACGACGTACTGACTTGAGACGCTTCACAGTAATTGCGGGACAAAAAGCACCCCATTATGGCGGCGTTCTCCAACAGGAGCTATGATTTGTAATGCTTGCGGTCTTTATTTGAAGGCTCGTAACGTTGCTCGACCGACAAAGCGCAACCGTGTACAGACAAGTCCAGAAATTACGCAACCACAAAGCAATCCTTCGCATCCTCCCCACGATTCACCTGCTCCATCATCGCACGAGGGAGGAGGTTGTCATGGTTCGAAAGGGTCGTGTCCTGGTGGAGGTAATTGCAATGGTACAGGAGGGGCTGAGGGGTGTGACGGGTGCCCCGCTTACAACAACCGTGTGTACAAGTCGACTCCCCGGGGCACGATCCCTGTGCATGCTTGGAATCGAGCAACAACTTCAGACAGTGAAAAGCCCCCTCTGCAGGAACCCGATTTATCGGTAAAGAATGGCACCCCAGCCACTACAACGACAACAACAGAAGGCAATATGTTGGTATCCTGCCAAAATTGCGGTACTACGGTAACTCCACTTTGGCGACGAGACGAAAATGGTCATCCAATCTGTAATGCGTGTGGTATGGTTTATTCCATTTTTATTTTCAAATTTTCCTCCTATTATACCAAAAGGCGTAATTGTACTGACAAAGAAATTAGGTCTGTATTACAAACTTCACGGCTGTTATCGGCCTACCACGATGAAAAAGACTATCATCAAACGACGGAAAAGGGTTGTGCCGGCGCTGCGAGAGCATTCTCCGACGGGGGCCACGCAGTCATCGAATGGGTCTTCTGCCTCACCGGAAGCGTCTCCTGCTGCATTGGCTCCTCACGACGATCATTATCGCTATTACAGTTCGGAGCCGATGGACCATTACAAGCATATGCCCGGTGATCGCATTTCACCGCAGGCCCCAAGACAGTTTGGTTTCGCGCCGCCGCCTGTTGATTTCACGGGTTTCGGCTCTGCGACGGTTTCCTTGCCGCACCACCCTCCCCCGCCGAGGCTGTTGGAGCCAGATCGCATCAACGCTCCCAGCCATTCTCCTATCTCGCAATTCGCTCGACGATCCCTCTCCCCTAATCCTGCGAACCCTAAGAAACGGACTCTCGCAGAGACCGCGTCATCTGCGGAGGCCGCCGCGATCCCCACAACGTTGGAGTCAGGGTCGAACCAACTCCCACCCATCATGTCAGCTGCCAACCCCTCACCACCGGGCCGGCTCAGCTCCATTTCTTCCATTCTCAATCACCCTAACACGCGGGACGAGTCACGTTTGGACCCGTCACTCGCCGCAATGAGTCGCCAGCAGCACCAACACTCGCACCAGGCTCTGGCACCTCCAGCCCCTCAGCCCTTGCCGGGAGTCACCGAGCTCGACAGTATGCGGGAAGAACGTCGGGCTCAATTGCAGCGGGAAGCTGAGGAGATGCGGGAGATGTTGAGAGCGAAGGAGCGAGAATTGGCCGAGTTGGGACGGCAATGATCGTTATATCCTTTCTGAGACTCGATGTTTGAATGTGCTTTTTGCTCATCTTTGTCCATTAATACACCAGGCGCAGCTGTTGCTTTCTGACGAGATACCACCTTCAACCGTCGATGGATTAACCGGGGTTTTGTTTCCATATTTAGGGAAAAGTGACTTTGGGTTGTTTGTGAATTACCATGTGTTATTTGAAGCGGGAATAGCGGGTTTACCAGAAAAAGAGTCCAGGAAGGCTTTCTCTTTACTTTATGTTTGATAACTACAGATCTCTCCTCAAATTGAGGTTTTAATTTCGGAAACGTCATACATACATACCTACATAGATGGATGGAATAGATAGGGAATCGGATATTTTACACATTTACTGGGACAATCTTATGTGTCGTGTTCGTTTGATATGACCAGTAGTACTATATAGTAGGTAGTATCATACCAGTTATGTACATCATAGGGGCAGTCAACTGTCAATCTCGTGCATTCGGAACGGCCCGAGATCGAAGGGTGAACTCATAATGATGTATATACAGACCGCTAATTCCTCCATACATTAAATTATAATATCCTTAGATGCATTAGTCTCCAATCCAAACCTAACCTCCCCCTACCACATACTTACATACATACATACCTAACATCCAACATCCAACATCCAACATCCAACATCCAACATCCAACATCCAACATCCAACATCCAACATCCAACATCCAACATCCAACATACCTACAACCAACACAACCACACCCAACTATCAAAAGAAAAGAAAGAAAAAAACGAAAAAGAAAAAAGAAAAGAGAGAGAAAAGGAAAAAGAAAAATGCCACCCCCAAAAACCTATACCCTAACCTTCACCGGCGACGTCATGCTCGGCCGCCTAATCGACCAACTCCTCCCAACCCACCTCCCCAACCAACCCGACTGGCAAACCACAATCAACCAAATCCTCAAAACCGCCCCAGCCCTAAAATCCTACTCCCATATCTCCCCCTGGGGAACTGCCCTCCCCTTCCTCCTCCGTCCCGCCTCAGATCTCAATATCATTAACCTCGAAACGGCCGTTACGACCGTGGACACGCCATGGCCGAACAAAGCTTTTAATTATAGGATGCATCCATGTAACTTGGAGGTTTTGAAAGCGGGGAAGATTGATTATGTTAGTTTGGCGAATAATCATACGTTAGATTTTGGGGTGGGCGGGTTGCAGGAGACGGTGGAGAGGGTTAGGGGGGCTGGGATTGGGTTTGCGGGTGCTGGGGATAGGTCTTTGGAACCTGCGGTTTTGGGGTTAAAGAGGGGAGGGTTTAAAGAAGAAGAGAGTGGCGGTAGTGGTGAGGGAGTTGGTAGTACTGGTGGTGGTACTGGTTGTGGTGGTGAAACAGAAGAGTATAAAATCCATATCTACTCCGCCTCAGACCACCCACGCGCATGGGCCAACATCCCCCAGTTCAATTTCATAGATTACACCCCCGCCACACGCGCAAAGCTCAAGACCCTCCTTACGAGCGGAGAAAAGCCCGCACTGAAGATCTTCTCCGTGCACTGGGGACCTAACTATGCGTGGCGGCCGGCTGGGGAGATCCGCGCACTGGCCCGGTTCCTGGTCGACGAGTGTGGGGTTGATATTGTGCATGGGCATTCGGCGCATCATGTCCAGGGGGTGGAGGTTTATCGGGGACGATTGATTATGTATGGGTGTGGGGATTTCGTGGATGATTATGCGTTGAATGGGGAGTTTAGGAATGATCTTGGGGCGCTTTGGAGGGTGATGGTCTCGGAGGATGGGAGGGGTGGGTTGTCGTTAGGGAGATTGGAGGTTGTTCCGACGAGGTGTCAGCGGTTTGAGGTTGAGGTTTTGGGGATCGATGATGAGGATCATGCATGGGTTAGGGAGAGGGTGGGGGAGTTGAGTAGGGAGTTTGGGACGGTCGTTGACGGGGAGTTGGGGAGGGATGGGCAGGTTGTTATGGATTTGGGGTGAAGATTATATTATATATATTGGACTTTGCTTTTAGGTGGAAGTTTGTGCTTTTTTCGTGTTTGCGTGTGGTTGAATTGGTCATTATGGTATATCGTCGTGCGAATAATGTACAGTTGGGCCTCCCATGAAATAACGGTCGTGTGCAAAGGAAAGTGGTTTCTGTGAAGACATGGACAGAATGGTATAAAGCTGGCAACAAAAAGGATATATACAAAGAATGTAAACTGGGGAGTAAATGGCGTCAATCATTGTTCCATGACGAGTCTTCGTTGACTGGTTGATTCGTCGTATTTAGAGGTTTCTTGATACATCTCCGTGGTCACTTCGATGCCCTTGAATGCGTCAGGTTTCCTTTCGCCGTGCTCGATATCGATCGTGCACATGCCGAAATCGTCATTTTGTGAGGGCAGCTGCATCCGGGTTACCCGGGACCGAGTGGTGGCAGTAGCGGTTGGATTCCGGGTGTAGCGGTTGTAGCTGTGAGTTGATAGGAGCTTGGGGAACAGGCAGCTGACAATCGGCCGCAGGAAGGGAAGACAGGCGCAGATAATGGCCACATTGCACTCCGCTGCAGTCCAGTACGCAGCGCCCACGTTGCTGTCTGATTTAGGGTTAGCGATGGATACCATGCAGTAACTCTTGCTTTTCCTTACAGGATGTGTCGGGATCTTTCGCGACCGAGCGGAGACTAGAAAGTCGCAGGATACTGGTTATGACGACCCTGCTTGCAATTAGCATCACATTTCCTATTACAATTGCTACAGGGGAGAGACTAACAGTCCACCGATTGCGAAAACACCCATGAGGGCAAATTTCTGTAAGCGCGGGAGCTGTAGTTGGGAGAGAAGAGGCATCGGCATGATGAGGAGCGTGAGGTCGGTTACGATATTCATTGATGCATTGAAGAACCAAACGCCCTCGAAGCTCAGACACGAGCCAGGCATCGTTCGATCCCAGAACTTGGCCACAGGAACGCAGTTCACGTAGCCACTCACAACAGCCCAAGTCCCGTACAACGCGACAATACCCATCACGACCCAGCAAGCAGTACGGAATCGACGGTCAGGGAAGATACGGAGATACTGGAAAAGAATCGAGAATTTGGTGAATGCGAGACTGGCATTGTACATAGGAATGGCCGCCCAAAGTCGCTACAGCAATAGAAGATGAGCGTTATGCCAGGTAGTAGATGTGCCTTATGATTGCTTACCTTCAATTGTTGTTTCAACTCTTCATCAGATAGGGCAGAGTTATGCTTGCCGAGGCCAAAATGTACCTCTGGTGCCAGTCAGAACCGGTCCGAGACAAATATCCAACAAATCCTCCCCAAGGAACTTACCGGCAGCAACTAAAGCTAGGTAGACAATAGCAAGAACCTGGGATAGGTAAGCAACTCGTCGAAAAATATATGATAGCAGGTATCTAGCCATGGCGCTTACCAGAGAAAATAGAATTGTGTAGTCTTCGCGACCGATCATTTTCAGCAAGCCGATCCTAGCATACATCCGCATACCAACGATGAGAATAGAAATGGCAGTTAGCACGGCTGTCACGACCAGTGCACGTTGTCCCCGCGATGCTCCATCATCATCATCCCGAGGAAATAGAATATGTGGCAGTATTTCGTCCATTGTGATGTGAAGTTGGTTGATAAAGAGTGACTCGAAGCGATCCTCGTATACAAAAAGAATGTGATATCCGGTTTACCATTAGCCTGGATTGGCTGCGCATCAGTAGTCTGTCCCAAATGATGCACAGTCCCCAGGCTCGTAACCAGAGGTCAGTGTAAAGTGAACCGCATGAAAGATTGTGGCATCAACGACTTTGGCGTGTGGGGAGATTATCTATGAAAAGCTTGGTGGGCTGTGGACAGAGATGGGGCCCTCGTTCTTCTGGATATGTGGTAGTCAAAGTTTGATAATCTTCAATAGCGTACTCTGCGTCCTGGAACGGAATCAGAATGACTCGTTGGGAGGTTGCGGAGTATTAACAGACAACTAGTGCCTTGCGTTTTTCTTGCATTCCTCTCGCCCATGTGGTTCCTTAGTGGCGGCAATCCTCTGCGTTGTGAGTACTAGTTATGGAGATACTTGGCGTGGACTCCACATGCGTCGTCGTCTATGTGGGTTATATATTCTGTACAGCGAATCAATGATTGTATGCCGTCACTGTCTAATAGAAATTCTGTCAATGTGGTGTCGTTGACTCGTTATAGGCAGACCCATGGTAGCCACATTCTGTTAGTACTTCCCTGTATAGGATAGATTTGCTCGTGCCGTGGCCCGGAGCGGAGTCTTCGGCAGTGTTTAGCGCCTCTGATTCGGGCTTTTCCTTTGCTCCACCCACAAGAAGCCCCCCGGGCCAATTTGACTTTTAGTACACACGAGTACATGTAGTTCCAACAAGGGCTTTTAGCGTGGCGAGAATTTGCCATGCCAGACCGATAGTTCGGTCAATAGTGCATCTTATCTGGATCGGACTTATTGAAAGTTGAAACTGATATATCCTGTGTAATAACCATAAATATCCACGGTTGAGGTTGGGTTCAATGGCAATAAACATGGCTGTAGCTTTGGTTTCGGCTTTATGAAAAGATAATATAATAATAATAATAAAAATAAAAATCATGCCATGTTGGGTCCGAGTGGGTATAGAGTCCCCCAGTTAGTTTCCGAAAAGTTCTAAGAATGTTGTTCGCGTATACGATATTGTACCCATGGAATGCAGCTATCGGTACCGTCGCAGTGCGGGTTGGACCCCGACAAATCTTTTCAAATTGGTAAGATCGTCGGTCCTCCAGGCACAATTCCATCGTTTAGAGTATGATTAATGCAACAATTGCTTTTTAACCAAGTGCCTCTGATTTTTGGGATGTGACCCAAAGTTCCAAGATCTCGTTCTGCAACTCTCTTTCCCTTTTAGGTTCCGAGCCAGGTGAGGGACGATCATTTACTCCCCGAAGGGCAGCCAGTTCATTATACTCCGTAAGTGGCCAGTTTTAGCATAGACCGCGAATCTTCGCCAAAAGGGGCAAATATTGATTGGCCTTCTGTTACTTGTGGAGCAGATTCAACTTAGCGTGGAAGTCTTGACGTCCTGGATTCATCCATCGTAGACCGTCTGCTCACCGAATACAAAACATAGCCGGGAAATACAAGGCCTGCACACATGTCGGCCATGGCGGGCTTTAAAAGAACGGAGTCTCTCTTCGTTGTATGATCGACATACCCAAGTAGTCCGTATCGTTAGGCGAACAACGGCGTCTACCAGGTTTTTCTTGGCTATCAAGTTCGGCACGCCAAGACAAAAATAGAGCACGTATGGCATTGCCAGAGGTAAAGCGCCGGTCGACTAGTACTATGTCTCGCTGACCGACAATGGGTGAAGCAAGCCATTCAGCATGTTTCAGAAGTAAGTGTGGGGAATATTGGCGTAAAATATGCCGGGAAGTGCTCGGTACACAGTACGGAGGGGGCATGTTTCACGCATATCTCGCCCTGATTTGGTCATTAGGGTTCATATTGGTCTGTTCAGCAAGCCACTCCTGACCCAATAGAAACTAATTTCTTGCATGCATGGCCTGCTGCCTAGTAAACGTAAGGGGGTGGCACACATGTATGTCACTTTACATACATAAGCAATCGATTCGAATGCACTATTGCGTCGCTCGGCGATCTTCGGGCTCCAGCAGTATGGTTAACGCACGCCACCATTGAATTCCATTGCTGGGGCAAAGAACCAAGTCGGTCGACCGTGATTGATAAGAACGGATGTCGAAGAAGAATATTGGATGCCACTAGCTTTTCCTCTTTGGGGATAACTACTAGTAGTCAGTCTTGACCTGCATCCATCCATATGGTTTAATCTTTTCAGGTTGCCCTGCATTAGCTTCTTTTTGCCCCTTATTGAATAGTAAGGATCAATAAGCTAACTCATCAATGCCATTTTATTTATGTTCAAAAATAAATAAATGAATAAATAATCAAAAAATAGAATAATATAAGGAAGAATATGCATAAGTGCTGATGGGTGAAAACCAGGGACAAATTCTAGTCTTTGGGGGAGGGGAGAGAGCAAGCCGATCGGGCTAAACACTGGCTGCAACGGTGCCATCGATGTCAAATATGTCATTTGAGGCCTGAGCTGTCCATCATCCCCATTGGTTAATACCACTGTGGTTATTACTGTCAAAGATCGGGTGACGATCGTTGAACAGGTGAGAAGGGGGGGTGGAAAGGGGAGAAAAAGTTGTGTTTAGCGAGTTGGCCAAATGACAATTTCTCCCCCCTGACGATCACCTGAAAACGGTCAAGCACTAACAAACTTGCCACAAGATCATGACGACATAGACAAAGGAAATGGACGATCTTCTTCGCTTGGAATAGTCACAGGATTGTCTAAAAGCTTGAACGCAGCGTTGAAAAGATGGATCGCCGAAAACTGTCGGTTGATATGCATACGCATATCTATCGAGTCAACCCTACCCTACCCTTTGATGGATGTTTAACCCGCACCAATGTTGACTCTTGGCTAGATTTCGATCCCAATCCCAATCCCAATCCTGACAACACCCTGGGAAGCTGGAAACAATCCGTATCAGAGCATTTCAAATAACCCATCCTGTTCAAGTGACCGACGTCTCGGTGGAATCTAGCCGGGCTTGTGAAGGCTGTGTAAGGACTGAAATTGATATCTAGCCAAGAGGCAACATGGGTGCGGATTTAGATCCATCGTCTCGAGGTCAGGGTCAGGGTCAGGGTCCGTTCCGTAGCTTAACGCGCGAAATCCCTTTTTCGGAGCACGTTCTGAGCCTTTATGCATACCAACCGACAGCGTTTGGCCATCAGTCCCTTCAATGTCACTCTCCAGGCTTTTAGATTAGCCTTCCAGCGAGCAAAGCGGCCTTTTTTAATGGAGACTTTTTTCCGGCCGCCGTTTGGCGTCCTACTAAGGGCTTCCCAGGTGTCGGTTGAGTCCGTTGCAATCTGGGATGTGACAACAGCCTGCCAGTCTTCACAGGTCTCTATAGCGTCAGTGATCTGATCGTCCGTGGTACAAATCTCGAAACGCTGGGACTTTGTTTGTTGTGTTCCTTCCCTACGGTCGTTGGCATCTATTTCCATACGTTGCACGTCGCAGTGCCCCTCGACGCTCTCCTCGAGGGAGCCTACGGAGATCCCATCGTACTCTTGCTCATGGATTGAGCTATCGCTGATCGTCTCCGTATGGTCTTCTGGAAAGTCACAAATTAGTATAAACCCCTTCCTATCTATAGCAAATGTCTCACCTGCAGTACAGTCCAAAATCTTCAAGCTCATCGACTGGCTCAGCAAAGAAGGTTTATAGACTTTGCATTGTCTCTTTATGTAGAACTTCTCTGCCGCGACATGACAAGCCTTTTCATACTTCTCTTGAAGCTGAGCCTTATGACATCCCCACTGGTACCTAGATCGGATGTTGCAGAGGCTGATGAAGCCGTTGCCACAGGCCACAGATCCACTCTGGTACTGTTCGAGAATCCCCTTATCTGGCGTCCTGCATTCTTCCCATTCAAACCGGTCGTCAGTCCATCGACCATGTAAGCTATAAAATCTGGTAACGCGGCCAGTAGCCCATCGGACCAGATCGAAGCCTTCACGGTCCAGATCCTCCAGACCTTTCTCAAGTTCAACAATAACCGGGTCGATAAACATCATAGCTCTCGCAAAGATAGATTGAATGCGAAGCTCGTCTCTGGGATTAGGCATCTTTGGGTCTGCCAGTTGGAAAAGAAGGGAGATCGCTGGAGGAGTCCCACTGGGCTCGTAGATCGGGTAACCGAGCCAGTTGAAATGGTGTATTTGTCTTGCTTCATCATGCTCCATACAATAATTGCGAAATATAAACTCTTGTTCAACTTCACTTTTCATCTGTGTAGTCTCGTAGCTGTCTTCATAGTTATAATATATATCGTCCTCTTGATCTTCATCGATATGGGGCAAAGGGTTCATACTAAGTCTATAGTGTTCAGAGACTGGCACTACTCCGAATGGCGTTTCAAGTTCCATCTCTCCAACGGGACATTTCTTCCCGTGAAGATCATCGGCATGACGATGTCCTCCCCAAACCGGGGAGATGTCAGCTCCTTGTTGAGAAGAGATGGGGGTATCAGTATCGCTATATTCGTCGGATATATCATCCACCTCAGTCTCCCTGGCTGGATTAGCATTGGACTTCAAACGCTCATGCTGCTGTTCGAGCGCTTCCTCAGCGTCTTCGGTCCAATCAAAGCCAGACATGGGCCTAAGGGCCGCGTCAAGAACCTGTGCAAACAAACAACTGCTGGTCAGTGAATAGAACGATATCACTTTGGGTGAGTCAGTCATTCACCTGCTTACGAAGGGTTTGAGTATAACGGCCCATAATCAATATAAGGATATTCAACAGTTCAAGGTGTATAGCGTTTCTATAATTTGAAGGGCGTCTTGTGAATGTGGTCGTTCAAAGTGAAGAGTGTTCAGGAATGCTTAAGTATAGGCACATTGAAACTGCCACTGAGGCCTAAAAAAGGCACAAGATACATATATACACTGCTGCTGGGAGGCTGTAGTAGGATTGGCTTCCTGAGTACTGTTGCAGTTTGCTGTAGGAAATGGTAAAGACTTCACAACACAACCAAGACTGCGCCATTCACTAAGGAAAATACCAAGTCCTGAATAGAATAATAACTGTAGGTATGTTGAATGCTTGCATTCACTTTAATTGCAGCATATAGCTTTTATTTGAGAATATTTGGACACGATCATTATGAATGATGAAAATTCAACCTTTTAACCGGACAGGAGCTGGAGGTTTCTTTCATGCCAATACTCTCCAAGCCGCATTGTTCATAATCATACTCAGCCCAAAGCATCATTGTTGAGCGTAAGACAGAATACACCACGTTGGAAACCAGGAACAAAGAGAAAGGCAAAAGACTACACTAGCTCTCTCGAGCAGAATGTATCTGTAAATGTGCGCAGCCAACGAGAGCAGGAGTGTTTAGTTGATAGTGCTGAAGCTTGCAGATGAGGTTTATCAACGAAATGCAGATGTAGGTTTATATCTGCCACGTACTGGCTTATCTAGTACTCAAATGTATATTCAAGCTTCCTAGTTGAGTTCTTCATATAGAACAACACTCTTCAATAGGGATATGCTTGTTCCATGAATGTGAGCTGATGTTTATGGAACTCCAGATATAAAACGCTTTATGCAGTAATGACTTCTTTGAAATGAGCATATAGACTCTTCCCATTATTATATGGGACATCCCTTCCACTAAGTTAAGTTCCTGGAAGTTTTGTCGATTAGAGATGCTGCGTTTACAAAACCTCAGGTATCATTGATTGCAAAGTTTCTGATACCCTAATATTAGTTTTCTAGTTTACTAAAAACTGAAGACAACAATGGGCCTGTAGGAAGTTAGGTAATTAGGAACGAAGACTAAATTATGCTTTTTGTCTTCGTAAATAAAGTACCAAAGAGACTATCTTAGGAGACATAGAGCACTTTGTTATATAGAAAACAACCCATTGTTCTAAAGATGACTTAGTTACAGAACTCGCTAAGGGTCCAGCTACAAACCATCTAAATACCAAAAATCTTGCTCTGTACGAAGATTGTAAAGCTGTTTCTTCTTGCCTATAATCGTCGCTAGAATTCGCCTCTAAGAACTAGCCACTCTTACCCAAAACTGGTCGACCTATTGCGACTCATGAACATATGCATGCAATAAGCTGAGCGCCTTAATCCCAGTTGTATTTTTCCGAGACTTTTAAAATGGTTAGATCGATAGAATGATTTGCACTCAAGCCAGCGTAATTCTGATTAGTGTTCCATCCTCGTAGTAAAGGATATACTTACAACTGCCACCAAGATCTAGAACACTAGCCTAAGAGAGATATTATGCTAGACACATAAGTGTCTCCATATAATCACCGTTGGACTTATGAGAAGTGACGGGCTTCTCTTTTTTTTTTTTTTTTTGTCCGGCAATCGCTATCAAGGATTTTCCATCTAACGAACTTATTGTCCAGCTACATATTCTGAAACTTCACATACAGTAATGTTAAATTCTCATAGACATAACCTCATCAAAAGGCCTTCAGGATAAGACCACATTGTATATAAACAAGAGAAACTATATAATAGTTTCCATTTGTCTAACTTCGCAGAGGAATAGGAATTTGAAAGCATAGGTCGCTTCCGTTGAAGTTTGTCATTACTCGATCACACTAATCTCATGGAATCAATAATGTACATGGGCTTTGCGCTTTTAATGAGCTAGTAATGACTGCAGTTGAAGCAACCCATGAGTGGCTTAAAGATACCAGCTAGCATTCGTTATTTTTTAGTACCTCTCTTTTTATGTAGGCTGACAGGTAGCTCATGTCTAATCAATGGTCTTTTGCACTGTAAGGTCGGTCTCTAGAATTCACAAAAATAAGGCCACCCCAATCATTGTGCACCGTATCGTTGAGTAGAAGAAGCTTCATATAGATAATACAATATAAAAACCAACATTCGCGTAGTAAACGTACGGAACAATGGCGTTTAGAATTGAAGCTTGATCAGCGAGTCATGCGAGAGTCAAGCCTGCAGGTTACTAGATCTGGTGCTAACGCGTTTAGTTGTCTCATATACTAACCATATACTTAAAGTCTTGCTGCAGATGCAAATGGTTAGTTTATATCTAATAACCTTAAAACTAACTTTTATATGTCCTGGACTATGGTTATCCCTAGACAGAACTCTTTTCCTATTGGCCGGACAGTGCGTTACTTCAATGAATATTAACGTAAAAGCAAACATTTCCTTTTGCCTTGACGTGTGATCTTACTCGTCGACCTAGTGGCGAATACTATTCCTCAACTGTAGTTGCTATTCCAAGTATACCTTTCAGGAGTATATACATATCCGTATGAATGGACGGCAAGGGGCCATTTCTCTCTTTCATTCCCAAGAGAGCTCCGCGGTGACTCAACAGATGCCCCATGTACCAGTTAAATTCCAACTCGGCCATATAACTGTCCATAGCTATACTTCAACGTGATACCGTCTTCCAATGACGTTAGAAGAAGAATATTCTTCGGCTGGAAGACCGATCGGGCAAACCTTCAGCCGAAACGGAGCCCCGCTGACATGCCGAATCACGACATGCGGACATGGGTTTCCCCGCACAGCATTCCGACTCATCGGCCTTTTAGTACTATCTTTGCTCCTATCTTCTCTGTTCTTCTATTCAATTCTTAAATTTCTAATCTAGAGTGCATTGTGGGTTTAGAAAAAAGCTCTTTATGAAGCATTTTCGAGCTTGTTGCAATTCCATCCGACTTCTACGACACCTAGCTTCCTCCCCATCAGGTACTACACTCTCCACACTTACTCCATCCGCCCGAAGGAACCCGTTTTTCTGCACAGTCCAACCGGCAATCACCAAACGCACAATGGCAACGGCAATGGCAAAGCGCCTCGAGGGCAAGACGATCGTCGTCACCGGCGCGTCATCCGGCATCGGTCGCAGCACCGCCAAGGAGTTCGCTCGCACGGCGCCCAAGAACCTGAAGCTTATCCTGACAGCCAGACGAATCGACTCTCTGAACCAGCTCGCGCAGGAAATCAAGGAGGAAGTCGGCGATGGCGTGAAGACATTGGCCGTGAAACTAGACGTCAGCAACCCGACCGAAGTCCAGAACTTCGTACCCTCCCTGCCAGCGGAGTTCCAGGAAATTGATGTTCTGGTCAACAATGCGTGAGTTTTGAGCTAGCTGCCCCCGTTTCTTTGTCCGATGGTGGCGCTGGCCTGTACTGACGGAGATTAGCGGACTTGTCAAGGGTGTTGCCAAGGCTCCGGAGATCGCCCCGGAGGATATCGATGTCATGTTCTCCACTAATGTCACTGGGTTGATCAACATGACCCAGGCGATTCTTCCGATCTTCAAAAAGCGGAGTGATGGCGGTCGTGGAGACATCATTAACATTGGAAGTATCGCTGGTCGTGAAGCTTATCCGGGTGGTAGCATCTATTGCGCCACCAAGGCGGCTGTCAAGTCGTTTACCGAGGCTTTAAGAAAGGAGCTTATTGCTTCGAGGATTAGGATCATCGAGATCGATCCTGGTCAGGTTGAGACTGTGAGGGGTTTCTCTTGATTATCCCTGCGCGACTATTGAAGCTAATTAGATGCTTGTTAGGAATTCTCCGTCGTGCGATTCTACGGAGATAAGGAGAAGGCTGATGCCGTATATGCGTAAGACTTTCTTGGAATGTTTGTGTTTAGAAGGGCTGAGCTGACGGGTTATTGTGCAGCAACTGCGAGCCACTGACCCCGGATGATATTGCGGAAGTTATTGTGTTTGCCGCTGGCCGGCGTGAGAATGTCGTAATTGCTGACACTCTAATTTTCCCAAGCCACCAGGTGAGTCTATTGCGATATTGAGAAGATGACCATATTTAAGTCATTGCAAACCCATGGTTATGAGTTTGGTTGTACCCGAACGGCTATACTGATTGTTTCAGGCATCACCCGGTCATTTGCACAAGAATTAGACATGAATTTCTAGACGCTACCCCATGAAGCAAGATAGGGTAGCTGTGAATTAGTACCGAGAAGCTTTATATATTGAATATAGAAGACAGATACCGCAGTATTGCAATCCCAGTGAGTCAAGATCAGACCAAACGACCAAACAAGAAAAAATATTTGGAAATCACCGATGCATGTAAGCCTAAAAAGCACAAGAGATTTGACGCGCGCTTGCATTGGCAGTTTGACTGTTGGACGGCAGCAACTAGTCCATCTGCAGGAACGAGTAAAAAGGCGACCTACTCATGTATGATAGACATGGATGGCCAAATCCTCAACCAATACGAGGCCTTCACGTACATCTCCAGGTGACAGCAAAGCTGCAGTTTGCATGTCCGGGCGGATTGCAGTACCAAAAATAGTCACCATCCACAATAATCGCAGCTATGTTCCACGGGATATAAAGACTCTCTTGCTCTTCGCCCTGTATGGAATTAGGTCCGCAAAAGGGGTAACGAGCAAGGTCGGCTCCACCAGGGCCACGGGCGCCCTTTCAACCCACGGGCCATAAATTACCCGTGGGAATTTGGTCTCTGATAGGGCCATCTGCTCAAGGTGCAAAAAGTTTTGGTTTCCTGGTGGTGAGTAGTATATGGTGTGATCCCAGCCAGAGAAACAAAGCAATTGATAGGCCGGTGCCCGCACAGCAATGGGCAACGAGCGCCTAAAAGAAAAAGGGGCATAGCACTTTCGAATCCAGTTCATACCACGTAATTGGGCATTAATCAGGGCGTCGATGGTGAGATCGCTGTCAAACCATGTTAGATGTGCTTTTCGCCCCCGGTGGATGATTCTGACCTGCGCTAGGGTAAGTAATTCGGTTGCATTGCCAGATTGTCAATCATCTCCATGTTATGTTCTTTTCTTTTTTTTTTTCTCAACCCATCTTGAGAATGATGTCACATAAGTAAGCCACAAAAAGTCATATGGTCATAAAGGATTCTAGACTGCGAATTGATGTCATCAAAATTTGCTGTATGTAGTTCATCGGGAAGACCAACCCTTGTTCAATATTATATGCATGGAAAATGGGAGAGAAATCTTGGGCCTCGAACTGATTGGATCTATTGCTCGGAAAGTCGGTTATTGGACCATGTTATGGGTACCCACCACGTGAATAATCTCCACGCACTGCCAATGCCAAGCGTCTAGTTTTTGAAGGCTTACCCTAAGACAAAAAGATCGGCCCTCCTCAGGAGAAACCAACAAGTTTGGTTGCACGCGAATCGGTGGGTGTCGACTTCACATTAGTGGCCGAGTTGACAAGACCTCTAAGCGATTGGGCTGATTCCTTAAATCCTGGCGAATCTCGGCTGTGTTCAGAATCCATGCCTGTCCCTCGCTGTGTCTTCCTGGCTGATATAGGAGAAGGTAGCATTGTCATGTAGTAATCCTTCATGGATATGGGGGAGGAGGGAGGGGGCGCATTGTTGGTGTCGGACGAATACCTCTAATTCGTCTCTAGGGCGAACGGACGCCATTCAAAATGTTGCCAATTCCCCAAGGGATCAACCATAGACGGTGTAGTAGCCCCATGGCTGGAGACGTACCGATGCAACTGGGGATGGAGACCAATGTCTGGGCTGCAATGAGATTTCGGCTATCTCTGAACGCAGGCGACGATCACATCTATCAATGAGCGGAGCTTTATGAAGTAATATACGGAGTACCTATGCCCTGATAACTATGTCATTTTGTGACTCCATACTCTGTCTGTACTAGCACCCTACGGATTGCTCCGTATCCCGTACGGAGTACAGAGATAAACCAGGATTATCGCGTCGATACTGATGATCATAATCCGTCTCCTCCGTGCTCGATATCGGAGGGATCAGACGGTCAGACCACGGACCATTAGTCTACATATCATCTTTGGAAAGTGGAGGAGTGGGGAACCACTTCTGGATCACGAACTAGGATCCATAAGGATGTAGGCTAGCCGCAATGTGACCTTTTGCGACTCAGGAACTGGCTGCATAAGATACAAAGGACAGCCATTGGGGGCTGAGAGGATATTTGGTGATGTAAGTGCGTGCAGGGCGGGCGAGCTGTCAACATGAAGGTTAGTTAGTTCGCCGCCGTGTCCGCCTTCTATCCAGGCTAAGAATGTTTCTAGAAACCGAGGTCACGCAATGGAGGATATATTCTCCGTGTAACGTCAATCAATCGGATCTGGAGTCCACAGTCCCCATCGAGAACGAAATGCCGTGTGCTTCCCCATGACGCAAATGGGAGGTAGGCTTCAGTTATCACCCGTGGAATCAGTCTCTCTCCCTTCTGAATCATGTGGCCTTAATATCATCCACTATGCATAGAGTAGCGGTTCCAGTGTTGGTTCAAGAGAGTGGGTGGTGTTCATTTGTTCCTTGCGCTATCCAGCAAGCTTGCGTATGTGATTGATTACCTGACCAAGGTTTTCAAGACCCAGAGGCGGGAACTTTGGGAGGTGATAAAGCGATGGAATCCACTTTACAATGGAATTGATTGGTGTAGGCATTCCCATGGACACTGTTCATTCGTTTGTTATTGCATCCATCGGAGTAAAAGGTGACAGACCCTCCCGGGGGACCCAGATGGAACAATGGATGAATTTCTCAGAGGCGTTCAGTTCAGATGGACTGGCGCTAAGAAGTGGGAACAAGTGAAGATTGATTAATCTGTGGCTGGGGTTCCTTCCCAGAGGAGGTTGGAAAGAGACCGGAGCCAAAGGAATCAACACGAATAATTTGCATCGCGGTTCCTCTTCTGCCCCTTTTTGATTTGATTTGATTTGATTTATTTTTTCCCCCCTTCTACCCTTTCTCTCTTCTATCTACTCCGTGTCTCCTCATGGACAGTATGTAACTACTACCAACCACCAGATTCTTTCATCTCGTGTCGAGTACTCCGTATTGCTCTCTCTTATATTTTCCTATTTGTTTTTTCTTTTTAACCCATAATGATTATCTCCCATGGACTCCGTAATGGGTGGGTTTCATTTCCTCACGACCAACCACAGTCGTCATCAGTAATTTTGGAATTGTAGCAGGTAATTAAGTTCTTATTTATCACAACCTTTCCCGGAAGGGGGTGTGTTTGTTAATAAGAAAGCAAATCGCTTTCAACTACTCCGTAGTTAATGTAATTAAAACATGAATAATGGTCTCGGAAGTTGACCACACGCGCAGTAATGGCTTAATGCCACCCACTTTTTCTTTTTCTTTTTTTCCCCCCTACTATCCCCAAAACTAAGAAAGGGAAAAAAAAAAAAAAAAAGGACCCCTTTCATGAATCTTTTTATTGATTGTTGTTATTATTCTCCAATCGGCACTCATTCTGACCACCGCTCTCCCTGAAAAGGAACCCTAGAGTAATTCACTCTTACTGAATCATCTCGAGTAACAAAAACGGTATGTTGCTTTCTCTGTGTTAAGAATTTTTTTCTTCTTCCTCCTCTTCTTCTCTTTTGGCCCTATCCTTCTGTAATTAATCCCCCACCTCCGTTGCTCACTTTAAACTCTCCTTAATCATCATTCCCCCTTCCCCCCTCTCAATCTCCACCTCATCTCTTTTCCCCTAAAACCCTCCCTAAAAGGAGCAACGGTTTGATTGTGTTTTCTCTTTTTAATTTTTTTTTTTTTCGGGCTTAGTTTGGAAATACTAGAAGAGAAGTCGGGTTTCTACTCCGTAATAGCGAAAGGAAACGGCCTACCGCCTCGCATTCAATTCCCGCCGATTGCCAGAAGTTCCACGAACTCCTGCCCCCCTGATCCTCTCAACCCCCATCCGCCTTTAAGCTTGGCCTAGTCGAACTCACTAGACCCGCCGTTGCTGTGGACTTGTCTTTTAGGCGCCTCTGTTCTGCGCAAAACTCCCGACAAGCTAGGCCCCGACTGTTGACTCTGCTGCAAAAAAGAAAATTGTGCTACCGCTCTCTCGACCCGCTGTCACGTACGCCCGTCGGGATAGCTTCGATCATCGCCTTCGTGCCCTTCATCCTCCCTATCAGGCACACATCCGGGCAGAAGACTCTAGAATGGCTTCAAAGGTAAGCTTGTTCTCCCCGACACCCCGTCCCTGGCACCCGTCTCTACCTCTCCCTCTCTCTCCCCTTACTCAACAACGATTCCCGATTCCATCATGCCCCTTTCAGAACATGGCGCAAGTTACGTTACTCACCGTTGGACGAACTCTAGTTTTTACGAGAATACAAATTGGTAGTCGTTGGTGGTGGTGGTGTTGGAAAGTCATGCTTGACTATTCAATTGATTCAGAGTCACTTCGTCGATGAATATGACCCGACAATCGAAGGTGAGCCGCCTCCCCTATCCTTCGAGAATTCCCCTGCCCCGTCCGGTCACTTATCGGAGCCCGGCAAACAGATTCGTACCGCAAGCAGTGTGTCATCGACGAGGAGGTCGCTCTGTTGGATGTTTTAGATACGGCCGGACAGGAGGAGTACTCGGCAATGCGTGAACAGTACATGCGAACCGGTGAAGGGTTTCTTCTGGTTTACTCCATAACGTCGCGCCAGTCCTTCGAAGAGATTATGACATTCCAGCAACAAATTTTACGAGTAAAGGACAAGGATTACTTCCCTATCATCGTGGTCGGTAATAAATGTGATCTAGAGAAGGAGCGAGCCGTCACAGTAGAAGGTGGGTAATGAGCTAACCAGCGCGCGCTCTCTCTCTCTCTCTCTCTCTCTCTCTCAGTGTATTGGCTGATGTGACTGATGGTTGTGTCTATCAATAGAGGGTGAAGCTCTAGCAAGACAGTTTGGCTGCAAATTTATTGAAACATCCGCAAAATCTCGCATCAACGTCGAAAACGCATTCTACGACCTCGTCCGTGAGATTCGTCGGTACAACAAAGAAATGTCGTCGTACCCGTCAGGCTCGGGAGCCTTCGGCAATCGCGCCCCGGAGGGCAAAATGGACGTGAGCGAACCCGGCGACAGTGCGGGTTGCTGCGGAAAGTGTATTATAATGTAATTGGGTAGGCGTTGGACTTGGAAAGGATACAAGCACACGAGTCGAGATACGGAAGGGAGCGAAACATATAATAAAAATTCGACTGGAAAACGAGATATTGGCGACAAGAATAGCGCCACGGCCTCGGAGCTAATTGTGGCTTGTCGACGCTTTTTGGATTGTGAAATTTATACCACACGAGACTCGCTATCGGATGTGATGCCTGCTCCATGATGCCGTCATCATCTCCATGAACGTTCGATTCCCCCTTTGTTTCTCTTTTTGTTTAATTTTTTTTTTCTTTGGAAAGACTGTTCTTGACGATCTCGTTCTTGGGTAGAACGGGGAATTAACCCTGTCAGTAGATCTGTGCATTTATATAGGTACATGCTATTGTCATGGTTTTCATTCTGGTTACTTTGAGCTGCAAATCATCGCTTTTCGTCCCTTTATCCTCATTGCTGTTGGTCTGCGATCTTCTGTAGGGTCAACATCCCCATTTTGTGTTGTTCTATTCTCTTTCATCATTTGGGCATTGGTGTGGCACTTTGCTTTTCTCTCGAATATATCTCTAAACCGGTGTTCCGCGCAAGGACACGAGCTGTCTGAACACATGCCCCAGATCGCCAGCAACCAATATATCGGGGCTTGGGGTAGTATGGGACTCCAGTGCTGGACCTTGCGGTTGCCTATCCTTAGACTTAGCTTCTTTTTACGGTCCCGCCGTTCATTTCCAGTTTTTGCTAAGGCAAGCACTGAAGGTAGTTCGTCCCATCTGCTCCGTTTCTTTCCTTTAATATTTTGGGTTTACCTATTCAATGAAAATATTGATTAATCTTCAGAGCCTTTTAGGGGGATGCAAATAACTGTCTATTTTCACTTATCAGTTGTTTGGTTGAACGCATCTATCTAACCGCGCCACAGCATGAAAGCGACGATCCGAATACTGGACAGACATAAAAAACTCTTGTGTGCGGTTGCTCAAAAGTTATATGCTTCGAGCATGGTTAATGTCTAAGCGTGTATCGACAGTTGCATCAAATCTATGTACATCTGCATCATCGGTAGTTTCCTTATTTACCTTCCTCTGCATCAGAAGGGGGGTCAAGCTCGTCTTCCTGCGAGACTCTTGTGCCCTGGACGTTTTCTTCGACCTCCGAGACCAGAGAATCCATGAAATCTTTGTCGGTTCCCACCAAAGTTACCGTGTTACGCTTCTTTCCCCAGCGGGGATAACTACCAACCTTTATACCTCGTGAAGATGTCCGCGACGCAAGGTCCGTCAGGTAAGGCGCCACAGCACTCTCAGGTAGTGGGGTGCTAAATAAGTACCGATAAATGCCTTTGCCCTCAGGGTCGGTTAACCGAGGAAGCAAAGTAGGCTTCAGATGCTCAAGGAGTTTCTCGAACAGACGAGGAACGCCTGGCAATATATGCACGTTACCGTTGACAATGGCGATTGGCACCCACATATCATCTGCCACGAAGGTAGCCTGCTGCTCCTCCGACAGAGTATCATCGTGGGGAAGTTCAACCATACGCAGCTTGGCTGTTAGACCGGGCGATGGGGTGTCCCAGTCAAATTGCGGTTGCATTGGGTGAGGCTTGGAGAGCTTCTTCATACGCTCAAAAGCGCCTTGGTGTAGTTTCAACTTCAGGCCGAACGCCTTGGCTATAGACTCATATGTAATGTCATCGTGGCTTTTATCAACGTAAGGGGCGTATAGTTAGCTTCCGGTATAGCACGACGGACGTCGGAACTGTGGAATCTTCCGAGAGAAAAAGATAGGGTATACGGACGTCGGTCCAATGCCTCCGCTGGTCACCACAAAATCGTAGTTATTGCTCATGCGCCCGACAGCCTCAATAATTTCACTTTCGTCATCGGCAATGACCTCTACCCTTTTGAGCTGAATCCCAAGGGAGAAGCAATACTTGGCAAAGTATGCGGAATTGGTATCAATTGTCTGAAAGTTCGGACTCCAACTATCAGTCACTACATTGGGGAACAGGGCACATGACCTCGGTGCAGCACACGGCAACAGCGGCAAGGGAGAAAGGGAGAGTCGCGGATAAAGTGTAGTAGATGGATTTATGATCAGAGCTGAATGGCCGATTCCATTCGGTTCGGTACTCACCTTTCCGCCAAGCACCTCGTCACCAATGATCAGACATGCTGCTGTATGTATCGTTTTCGTGTAGTTATGCACCGCGGATGATGTCATGTTGGAGGCACAAACTTGAGATATCGATAAGGATGGTAGAGTGACCGGAGAAGTGGAAGCGTAATTGAGTGATGGTCGGGCGAGGTGACGGGTCAACTGACTAAGACGACTGAACATGGAGGGAGAGAAGCGTGAATGGTGGTGGTGAAGAGAGAGAGGGAGGGTGTCGGGGTCGAGTTGAGGGACAACCTCAGGCATGTTTCAGGGCGACCAAATGACGGCTTTTGGAGTGGAGTGGGGAAAAACTCCCTTTCCGCCTCATCCCACTTTCCGCAAAAACGTGGAGCACCACTTAATTGCCGTTGCTCGTTTCTCCTTTTGTGTTACTTTTGCGCCAGAATCTCTGATCTAAATAGAGAAATCAGAAGACTTTACGGTCTTTCGGATCCTTCTGGTAACGACCGACTATAATTGACTTTGCCCTGGACTGGGCATTTACAATATGGTGAGATTGCCCCGCATTCCCCCTCGTAAACGTTGCGCCCCTGACGATATCGGGGACCACAGGCTTCTGAATCTCGGTTATATGCGTTCTCTCCGGAGACGAAGGAGAAATTGCGCAAGTTCCGACTGGGAACTTCTAGAGCAAAGGATCCTCAGGCTATAATATGTAGGGCTCACATCCTCTCATACGTCTGTCACCAAGATGTCGAGTGTATAATAAATTGACGGTCAACCTGATAGATGTCATCGACCAAAAGAACCAAGAGATTCGTCCTGAAGATGGCGAAGTGTACACAAAGATGGAAGACCTGGCCGATGAGCTTCCTGACTCATCACCCCGTTTCATCCTCCTGAGTTATCCTTTGACGCTGGTGAGTGTCCATAGCAAAATGATATCTTCTGCCCTTATTGACCAGCTAATGGTAGAAATCCGGTCGCCTTTCGGTTCCTTATGTCCTTCTGTACTGGCTTCCAGAGAACTGCAACCCAAACTCGCGAATGATGTACGCTGGTGCCGTCGAGTTGATGCGCAACACCGCAGAAGTCAATCGTGTGATTGAAGTTGAGGAAGAGGAAGACATTATCTCCATCGAATCGAAGCTGCAGAGTGAGGACTGAGCCCGAACGTTCACTCTGGGTGGATGGTTTTATTTGGTAAACTAGTTCATGATATTGGCGCTTCTACATACGGTCGGCGTTATGCACTTGACATTATTTACTCTTTGATATATTCGAGATGGATGACGGCGATGTTTGGTTTGGTAAAGCGATACATATACTTTCAGCCGAAACCTGGAATCTTCTATGCGGATGAGAATCTACTACCAGGCAATGGACTCTGGCGTTCTTGAAATATATTGTGATGTTAGCAGGCTCAGGGTCGTGTCATGTCCCCGGCTTCGTGAGGTCGAGCTGACAGGGCACGATAAGATTCCATCCATACTCGTTAGTGTATTCACACTTTCAGAACACCCAAGCTCCGCACATGGTCTTCGCATGTGGTTACTTACAGCTAGCAGTCCAGATAGGCACGATTGAGGCCGGCCACATTGGTATCAAGCTCAATTGCATTGGCTACGTCCTAGACCTTGGTCAATGGTTTCGGGAGCACTCGTGTGGCTCAGAACACCCATGGTAGTCGCGGTGATATACACATCGAGGAGCTCGATATCTAGCTTTCATACATACTGGTTTCTGGCATCTGGGATTCGCCGTCAACCGTTTGCCGTTCAGTATGTCGACTAGCCTTGCGGGTATACCCCTAGGCCATGTCAAGCTCTAGAGGCGGGTCGTTTGTCTCTTGGTTAAAGTATGTGTTGTCCATTGCGCTCGGTTTCTGCGAGAATACAAATCTAAACCTGAAGACATTCCAGCTTCCTACTGCAACAGCTTGCATCGAGGATGCTTCGATCATGCTTGTAAGTTTCGCACGTATCAGAGAAGTGCATCTTGGCCACTTTTTCGAGCCTATAGAAGTCAAAATGGATACGACAGCGATATTGCGTATCATGATCGACTAAGACCACATATTATGTTCCACATTAACCTCGGTGTAGAGCAGTACATCACCATGGATAATTCAGGAAACAGTTCATTTGGGAATGATGACAACTCGACATTATAATAGAGTGAAATATTATTCCAACAGAGCATGTACTACAATTCATTCATAGGTGTGACTCGTAGTATGGATTCCCATATATGCAGCGGATCAAAACAGACAAATAAATACCTAATCAGATCGCATGAATGATACACATGGAAACCATGATTTAGCAGAAAGCCAAATCCATTACTAGTTCTTACGTGCTGCTCCACAGTGGAGACGGTGTACTGGGACTAGACCCAGGACTCAGTTAGATTAGAGGTCTTAACACCTGACACCTGGTCGTGCTGCTGCCACCCAGAACTTTCTGGGACAGTAGTTGGAACTTTGCAATTGTTCGGCCACTTTCATTGCCAGTCAGCCTAACTCTTGATGAATGTGATTGGGGGTTTGTCTCCACTTGCTGATGGTGACCAAGGACCAAATACCCCTGTCTGGACCCGTCCCAATGACCTGGCCAGTGGCCACACTTCTCAGGCACTGACCACCGTGGTCCATTGGGGGGAATACTACTACTCCACTGGTGGAGATGCGCTGAAGATGTGTGGAATGTGGGTTTACCACTGTTGTTCGATGGTTTCCACGACTCCATAGTACGTAGTCTAGATGCCTGAACAACGCACATCGACGAAGTTGACTGCTGGCCGAGGTACGTACTTGTGGAAATCCTCACTCAGGCAATTTCAACCTGATTCATAAGGCACAATCTATATAGATTAAATTCCGACGATTAATCATCACTGAAAATAATATCGGCCCATTTAAATCCCTGAAAAACCAGTGGGGAAGTCTCCTAAAAAAAATCCGTAGGGTAGAAATTTCTCCGGCCCTCGTCAGCCTGCATATGGGGTGGGCGGGCGTTGACCTCGGATGGGACACCTGCAGTAACAGCAGCAGCACACATAGCCACATACCCTCCAATACAAATTGGCTACTGCTAGTGGCTACATAGGTATCTTCGAGACTGCTTCTAGTACCTGAATGCTGCACGTTAGTGAGCCACTTAAGTCTTAACGACCTTCCCAGTACGGAAACTCGTGCGTGCACAAGGGGGAGGGGGTGGAAGGCATGATGATTTATTAACTCCAGCTGATTGAGAACTAAGACTGGGAACTGGAACATCCGCGTCCCGAATGCAGCCACCGTCCTGCATGATTGTTGGACGCCGTTGGGATGGTGCTGCCCCCCATTAAGGTAAGTGAGTAGTAGGTGGTATTTTGTCCTTGCGTGGCGAAGGGTTCCTGGGGCGCGCTTTTGCATCATCGTGCAGCGAGCTTTGTCCTTTTTCGGTCGCTGGTGTGCTCGTGGGCTGTTGAGGGGCTCTTTTTTTTTTTTTTTT